GGAAACTGTTCTCCCACCCTTTAAGAAAATTCTCTTCTCTTTTCCTTGGTCCCAACCCATTTGCAACCAACCTGTGAAGTGTGCTCTTCTGTTCATACTCTGTGTGCAAAGAATTTTAGTTAAATATTGTTATATATCTCATTATTTGGCTTATTGTTATTCACACAACTCCGTTCAAAAAAATCTCTTCATGTTGCTATATATACAACCTGTCCATTCCCCACCACTACACAGTACCCTAAGGAACCTGTCCAGTCCCAGGGATGGGCACCCAGGTTGTCTTTAATTCCTTTCCATTACAATAACTCTGTGGTAAGTTTAGATGCCCCTTTATGAGTGAGAATTTCTCTGAAAGATAAACCCCAAAGTAGGATTTCGGGGTCACAGGGAGGGGTAAATGTAATTTTACGAAACACTGCAAGATTGCTCTCTGGACAGTCTGCATCAGTCTACACACACACCAGCAGGACGTAAGGGCTCCTATCGCCCCACATTCCTGCCAACACTTCGCATTATACAGCTAATTTTTCGCCAGTTTAATAAATGTAAAGTGATATCTCACTATTGTTTTAAGTTGCATTTCTCTGATTACCAATGAGCTTGAGCATTTCTCCATGTGCTTCTAAGCCTTAAATTGGGTTTACTTTTCTATAAACTGCTTGTTTATATCCTTTGCCCATTTTCTATTATGATTCCTACAGTTTTATTGCATTGCAAGAGACCTTGGAATATTCTAGATATTAGTTCCTTATCAACTTTAAACATTGCAATATCACACAATCTGTCATCTTTCAGTTAACTTTGTCCATAATCTTTTCCCTTGAACAGAATTTTAAAAAATTTCTGATGTTACTTAATCAAAATATTGCCTTACAGTTTACGCTTTTGGGTTTCATTTAAGAAGACTTTCAATACCTTGTCACAAAAATATTCCTTATGTTATCAACTACTAACTTTGGAGTTTCTGCTTTCACAGTCAAGTCTTTAACATCTGGAGTTCACCTTTGTACATGGTATTGGGTAGGGATCCAGTTATTATTTTCATCCATCTAGTGAGCCAGGTTCCCAACACTATCATCCTTTCTCATACCTAAGTTCCTTACATGCATACGTATGTCTGTGAGCTCTCTATTTTGTTTCACTGCTTCCCATGTCTGTTTTCCTGTCAATACTATTATGTTTTATTGCCATGGTTGGGTAGTATGTTTTAATATTTGCTTGGGCAAGGCCTACCTCTTTTCCTTTTTTTACAGTTGACTTTTACAATTCTACTTAAAGTAAGCTAAAAAGTTTTTCAAAAATCCATATAGAATTTTGATTGGTTCCACATTACATTTATAGCTCCCTTTGATGAGAATTGACATTTTTAATAGAGTAAATTATTCCCTCTCAGAACACGGGATGTTGCTCTATTTCTTCAGATCATCTATATTGTCCTTCATTAGTTTCAAAATTTCTCCATAGAGGTTTTGTGCATTTTTTTCTTAAGATTGGCACCTGAGCTAAACAACTGTTGCCAACCTTCCTTTATTTTTCTTCTTTTTCTCCCCAAAGCTGCCCAGTACATAGTTGTGTACTCTAGTTGTGAGTGCCTCTGGTTGTGCTGTGAGGGACGCCACCTCACCCTGGGCTGATGACTGGTGCCATGTCCGCGCCCAGGATTCAAACCAGCAAAACCCTGGGCTGCTGAAGAGGAGCACACGAACTTAACCACTCAGCCATGGGGCCAGACCCTGTGCATTCTTGATTAAGTTAACTACCAGAGAATTTATGGGTTCTGTTGCTATTTTAAAGGCATCTTTTTACTTGTAATTTTTTCTTGGAGATTGCTAGTGGAGAGAAATGCTACTGATTTTTGTACATTGATCTAGTACCCATCAGCCTTGCTGAACTTTCTTATTGTTCTCATGTTTGTTGATTTTATTGCTAGATAAATGATTATATCGTCTACAAATATTGACAGTTTAATCTCTTCTCTTCTGATCTTTACATCTCATTTCTTTTTTTTTTCTTGTAGATTTAGTCAGGACTTTTAGTGCTACATTAAACCGTTTCAGTGTTAGTAAGCTTTCTCATCCTAAGGGGAAAATCTTAAAGGAAACATTTCTCCTTTAAGTATAATGCTGACAGACGCTAACTTTACCAAGTTAAGAAAAGTTTCCTTCTTTTTCTAGTTTGCCATTAAAAAATAAATTAGGTGTTGGAACTCTGTAAAATGCGTTTTTACAGTGATTAAAATAACCATACAATTTTTCTCACTTTTTTCTATTAATGCTGTGAATTTCATTAATATATTTTCTGATGTTAAAACATCCTTTCAATCCTGAAATATAGTCCAGTGGATCATGATGTATTTAATTATTTTAATATATGTTAACATTTTTTAGCTAATATTTTGTTAGGATTCTTGGATCTATATGGATAATTAAAATGGGACATTTCTTTTTGTATTGTCCTCATGTGGTTTGGAATCAAAATCACATAAATTGAATTGGCTAGTCTCTGTTCTTTTTCGGTTTTGAAAACTGGTAGAAATACAGGAACTAAATTTTCATTAAAAGTTTGGCAGCAATTATGTACAAAACCAGGTAGGCCTGAAGCTTTCCTAGGAAGTGAATGATTTAAATTTTTTATGCTTATTGTCCCCATCAAGTTTTCTATTTCCTCTTGGGGCAAATTTGGCATTTTATATTTTTTATCAATTTATCTTTTTCCTGTAGGTTTTAAAAGTTTGTTAGAAAAGAATCATAATACTGTTTTTAAACATTCCTTTGTATCTTTTCATTCTGTGTATTGTTTATTTGCAAATTTTCTGTTTATTTGCATATTTTCTCTTTAATTCTTGAGGTCTCCCTTATGTATTTTTTCAAAGAACTAGTTTTTTTACAATTAAAAAGTTTTTAACTAATTTGAAATAATTTTAGACTTTCAGATGATTAGCAAAGACAGTACAGAAAATTCCCATATGCCCTTCACCTAGCTTCTTGTAACTTAACATCTTACATAACCATTGTGAAATTATCAAAACTAAGAAACTAATATTAGTACTACACTATTAACTAAACTACAGATTTTATTCAGATTTCCTCAGTTTTTCCATTAATGTCCTATTTTTCTTCCAGAATCCAAAACAGGGGACATACGTTATAGGCTGAATTGTGTTTCCTCAAAATTCATATATTTAAGTCCTAACACCCAGTATGTTAGAATATGGACTGTTTTTGGAGACAGGATCTTTGAAGAGGTAATTAAGTTAAAATGAGGTCATTAGGGTGAGGCCTACCAATATGAGTGGTGTCCTTCTAAGAAGAAGTTAGGAAGAGACACACACAAAGGGAAGACCTTTATGAATACACAGGAAGAAGATGGCCATCTGCAAGCCAAGGAGAAAGGCCACAGAAGAAACCAATATTACTGACACCCTGATCGCAAACTTCTAACCTCCAGAAACATGAGAAAATTCATTTTTGTTATTTAAACCACCCAGTCTGTGGTATTTTGTTATGGTAGCTCTAACAAACCAGTAGTCATGTGTTACATAATTAAGTTTCAGTCAACCACAAACCATAGATACGCCAGTATATAAGATTAGTATCATATAACCTAGGTGTGTAGTAGGCTATACAATCCAGGTTTGTGTAAATATACTCTGTGATGTTCAAACAATGAGGAAATCACCTAATGATGCATTTAGTAGAATGTATCCCCATCGTTAAGTGACACATGACCGTATACCCTTTGGTTGTCACGTTTCCTCAGTCTCCTCCACTCTGTGATAGTTTCTCAGTCTTTCCTCGTCTTTCAGAGATATTCTCTTATGTTACCAACTATTGGTTAACACTTTTAAACAGTACTGGTCAAGTATTTTGTTCAATGTCCCTCATTTTGGATTTGTCTGATAGTTTCTCATGATTAGACTGAGGTTATGGACTTTGGGGAAGAATACAACAGAGGGCACCTGCCCTTCTCATTGCATCATATCACAGAGTACAAAGTACCAACATTTTATTACTGGTGATGTTAACTTTGATCACTTAGTTGATGGGGTGTTTGCCAGGTTTCTCTAAAGGTACTATTTTTCTCTTTCCATACTTTATTCTAAGTGAGTCACTAAGTTAAGTCCACACTCAAGGGGAGGTAAAGTAACTTCCTGTTCCTAGAGGGAGGACTATCAAAGAATTTTGGACATATGTTAAAACCAGTAATGAATAAAATTTTGGGGGAGATACTTTGAGGTTATTCAAATATCCTGTTTCTTCTTAAATTGTTTTCCACTAATTTTAGGATTTATCAGCAAGTCTTGCCCACAACAACTGTTAATGTGGGGTTCGGATGATGATTCTCTATTTCTGATTCCTTCTAAATTTATGCGTTGAAATTTTTCTGTAACAACGAGTTGTTCCTTCTTCCCACTTATTTAATCATTTATTTATATGTGTATGGACCTATGGATATTTAACTTTTGGGTTGAATCCAATATTATCATTATTTATTTTGTTGCTCAAATTGCTCTAACTTTGGCAATTGGGAACTCTCTTAAGTTGGCCTGTGTATCCTTCTGACATGCCCTTGTCCTTATTTTCTGAAGATGATGCTTTAGGAGTATCTTGTATTTTCCCTGCCCTGGGCCTAGGATCAGTCATTTCTCTAAGGAACCCTTATTTATTCTACTGGTGAATGGCTATTTAGAAACCAAGAAATGGGTGCTAGGGGTGATGGCAAAGAACAAACTTTTGGTTTTGTTTTTTTCCTCCATTGTGTTGTTCTTCTTCACTTCACTGACTTCTGCTTCTATCTTTGCTATCCATTCATTCTGAATCTTTGTATTTTCTCTGGTGCTTCTTCACTTCCACTTTCTTGAATTAAATAATTAGGTTTATAAAAATAGTTTCTTGTTTTCTGATAAACGTACAGTATTTAAAAAAACAAATTTCCTAATTTTATCTATGTTCTACAAATTTTTTTACTTGTAGTGTTTTCACTGTCATTCAATTCTAAGTAGTAACTTCCTTTTCAGCCTAACAGTTACTTAGGAATTTGTTTTTATTTCCCAAGCATATGAGATGTACTTAAGTTATCCTTTCAAGAAACTTAATTTATAATTTAATGCATTATGACTAAAGGACATAGTGTGTATGATGCTGATCCTTTGGAATTCCAGGTTCCCTTTGAAATATAATCTCTGGTTTATTCTTGAGAAATATTTGGTTAATATTCTGTGCATGTTAAAACAGAAAGTGAATTATCTGTCATGTGACGAGCTCTATATACGCCTAATAACTTAAGTCTACTAATTACAATGTTTAGATATAGCTAACATTGCTTCCTTTTGTACTATATACGCCTAATAACTTAAGTCTACTAATTACAATGTTTAGATATAGCTAACATTGCTTCCTTTTGTATGATCTATCAGTTTCTCAGAGAGAAATGTCAAAGTTTCCAACTACAACTGTTGAAGTATTTATCTCTCTTTATGGCAGTTGTTGATAAATATACACACACACATGTGCGCTTAGGTGTTCTTGATGCCATATCTTCTTGATCCACTGTTCCTTTTCCCAATATACTACATCTGTATTAGTTGGATGTTTCAGTTAGCTATTTCTGCTTTACAAATTACTGCAAAACCTAGGGGAATAAAACAAACATTTTATTTTTCTCACAATTCTGTGGGCACAAATTTGGGGAGAGTTTGGCTGTGCACTTTGTTTCTGATGTATGTAGTATCAGCTGAGGTGGCTGGATCCAGAGGATCCAGTTCTAAGATGGCTTCTTCATTCATATATCTGCCAACTGGGCTGAGATATTTGGAATAGCTGAGGGATGTATGGGCACTGCTTGGTAAACTCTCTTTCCACATTCACTCCACCTGACATCTTGCATTTCCTCACAGCAGGATAATCTCAGGGTAGTTGGGCTTCTCATATGAAAAATATACTTATCCTCCTCACAAGTCCCCCACCTCAAAGCCTCATCTCCTTGTGGGATTGTCTTGAAGTTAGGATTTAGCCATCTGAATGAGGTCCAGATGAGCGAGAGTCTCCACGTGCATAGTTCCTCAAGTATATTACCTCTCAATCTGAAGACCTGTAAAGAAACATTATCTGTCCCCACCCCCATTATCCTCCCAACATACAATTGTGGTAAAGGCATAGGAAGCTACAATAACACTCCAATTCACAAGGCAGGGGAACAGGATACACATAACAGTTACTAGTCAATGGCAATTCTGAAATCCACTTGAGTGCATATCACCAATTCCTTGATTAGGATCCAGTCCTGCTCCCTACGAATAATTCTCTGAAAATCCTGGCTTTACCCTCTGGGCTCTTGGTTTTGTCCTCTGAAAGGTCCTACCTTTCCCCTAAGAAACTGACTATGTTTGCAACTGAGTAGCCTTCTCAGCCTGCTTCTTGCCCATAGAAGGGTAGAGGGGAGGGGGGTCTTTATTTTGTACTGTTTCTTTCCTTCTTAATTCAAGATGATAGTGCTCCTACCTATGTTATTCATTTAAAAATGCTGTGGGTTTTCTATGAATCTTACTGGATTTCACTCTTTTAGACAGAAGCCACATCTACAAATCTCTTTATAATAGACAGTTTTCTATCTTGGGCCTTGTCGCTACTGTGCAGTAAAACCCTGAGAATCACAGAATCTCTATTGTTTGACAGAGTCTATGAGGCATACTCAGAAGACCAGTAGAAATCCTTTGGTTTAGTGGAAAGTTTCTAAGAAATTCTGTCTTAGATCTTTCTGAAGTCTTAGCAAAGGATTTTACAGACCAACCCTCAGGTGATTCTTTGCCCTGGAGCCACTTCATATTCCAAGAATTTTTTGCTAGAAGAGACTGAGGATGTGCAACAGTTTTATTTTCAAATCCTGGCTCTTTTAATACGTCCTCTAAATTTTGGTCAAAAACTAAGCAGCTCCATAGCAATATTATTCAAAGAGCCAAAAGGTGAAAGCAATTCAAGTGTCCATAAACGAATGAAAAAACAAAATATGTTATACATACCTTAAAAAGGAAAAGAATTCTGACACATGCTACAATGTGGATGAACCTTCAGGACCTTATGCTAAGTGAAATAAGCCAGACACAAAAGGACAAACATTATATGATTAAACTTATATGAGGCACCTAGAGTAGTCAAATTCTTAGAGACAGAAAATAGAATGGTGGTTCTCATCCAGGAGCAGGGCAGAGGGGAGAATGAGAAATTGTTGTTTAATGGGTATAGAGTTGCAGTTTTGCAAGATGAAGGAGGCCTGGAGATTGCTTGCACAACAACGTGAGCGTACTTAACACTACTGAGCCGTATACTTTAAGATAGTAGATTTTGTTATGTAGATTCTACCGCAGTTAAAAATTTGAAAAAGCCAAAACAAAACAGCTTCTTCTTTAGCTCATGCCTTTCTTTTTGTATTTTATCATAGACAGCTAGAAATAGTCAGGTAGTACTCTCTGCATTTTGCCTAGAAACTTCCTTAGCCAGATCCACAAGTTCATTTGTTCACAGGTGACAGCGTTGCCAGACTTCCCATCTACTCCAGAATAAAGGTTCCTTTTGCTTCTGCTTCAATGCATTTTCCTCATTGTCCTTTAAGACTCACAAACATATTTCTGCTTTTATTAACCATCTCTTTGGGACCCTTCTAGCTTCTGCCTCTGTCTGGTCCCAAAGCCAGTGCCACATGTTTTAGGTTTTTGATATGACAGCAAGCAACCCCTAGACACCAGATTCTGTTCTTGTTATCTATTGTTAGGAGTAGATGACTAATGGCAGCTGGTCTATGACAGCATCTGTCAACTCTTTATTTCAGCAGAACTTCTGCCCTGGAATGCCATCAATATTGACTATATGGGCTGTTGCTGTCAATTCTTTGTAGTGATGGAGCAGGAAATTACTATCTAAGATAACATGGTGAGGGTGCAAAAGCAGAATTTCAAAACTTTCTTTCAGCCTATCTAGTCTTTCTTTTCATCCATTTACCCATGGCAGTTTAAGACAGTTTTCAGTTTGCTTGGATATTCTCTCTTTCTCTTTTTTGATCATTGTTAGTTTAAATACACCTTGCTTCTCTCTACCATCTGCAGTTTCTTCAAAGTTGATAATGGGAGTGGGCTGATTTAGGAGCTAAGGGAAAATGTTATAAAGACATGGGCGATGGAAATTTTCATCTGGTGGGAAAAATGGTTCATTAAAATTATAATACAGTGTGTTAAGTGCTATGAAGAACGTAAACACAGTGTGTTATGGGGAAATTAGGGAGGTGGTTTCTAAATCAGACATGGAGCTCACGGAAAGTTTTAGAAAGGAGTCAAGTAGAAGTTATAATAGGTAAAGCACAGTTTAGGAAATGGAATTTCAAGTTATAAAGGCATCTATACAGGTATGGTTTTGTGAGACAGCACAAACTTTTTGGGACTCCACATATAATTCTGAAAGGACTGGAACAAAGAATCTGTGCAGGAAAGTAGTTGGAAAAGTTAGAAATAGGAGGAGCCTGAATACAATGTTATACCAAGGAGCTTAGATTTTTATTCTTTAGGAGAGCAGGAAGTATTAGTTTTGAGCAGGGAATTGTCAGGATCAGATTTCCACGTTTCAAAGAAAGCAGTGCATGATGCTTAAGCCCTAGGGCCCCTTGCTTGTATGGGAACCTTCTCAAGTCCTGGAACGGGCATTAGCAATGAGTTCTGTGGTCAACTGTTTCTTGTAAAATTTGCAAAAGGAAGATATTTTAACTGCAACGGTCTCTCTCTACTTTAACTTGCCTCCATTACACTTTCCCTAGGCGGTGGGCATTTTTGGAAACCAGCTAAGGGAAAATTCAGGATTATTAGCCTGTGGTTACTAACACATAATAAAGTGGTTTGTAGTCACATCTGTGTATAGCTAAGTTATTGCTAGCCATCCTGGTATAGAAACGGGTTCTGGTAATAACCTTACCACCCACGCAGCAGTTATAATACAAAGATGGATGGCCAAAGGTGATGCTGTGGTGTAAATGCGTATTCACGATTTTGTATGTTTCTTAAAGGACCCTAAACCATATAAACTTCAGGACCTACAAACCAGGATCTTTACCTGGACCAATGCCAGACAGGGCCAAATTTAGGAAGCGATTATTGAAAATGTTGAGCCCCATGAGAGATGAAGGCCTGAACCAAGGCAGTGGTCACAGAAATGGAGGGGAAAGGTCTAGACGCAAGAAGCGCGCAGGGAATACACTCTAGGGAACTTGGCAATTGTTTTGATTTGGGGGGTGAATTTTAAAACAAACAGGTTGCCGCCTTGGATAATTGGGAGGATGGAGGCCCATCACAGAGAGAGAACAATAGGAGAACTGCAAGTTTGGGAGGAGGATGAATCCCGTTTGGGGCTCGTTGCGTTTCAGGTGTTAGAGGGATAAGTAGAGGAAAACGCTGGTCCGCAGCTCGGTTACACACCCAGGTATTTGGGGGATATTACCTGTTATATTTTCCATTCTCTGGAGGCCACTTACCAGGCTGCTTTTGGCGCTCGCTTTCTCGTCCTCAGGCCATGAAACAGCAGCCACCTCCCCGCGCTCACAGCTTCGTAGTGGCGCCCGCTCACCGGACGTGGGAGCAGCACTCCCGCCCCAAGGGGCGCGCGCTCAGGGGACGCAGGGCGCAGGCGCGCGGGGCTCTCAGCCTGGCCCAACTTCCGCCCGCGCGTCGGGGGTCCTGGGCTTACCAGTCTATGCTCGCTTTTTGCAGGATAGTTTTCCCCGCAAAGAGACCGTCTCTTCCCATTTAATCTCCCAAACTTTCACTTCCCCCGCAGGAAGTCAACGGTGCCTTCCCGAGGGTTTTGTTGGTCTCCAGGCGCCCAGGCAGAGGCGCTGATGAAGATGAGTCAGCGCTGATTTCCCAGCTGGTAGACGCACTTGGCTCATTACCTCTGGTGGTTTTGCACAAAGCCCAGAAAGCTTCGTGAACTGAGTTCAAAGTCTGCGGTGACTTTTTGGTCCCCATATGTGAACCTCGAATTAATGGGAAAACTCCCAGAGATTAAGATACCAATTTCTTGAGCCAGTTTTCTTATGGAAGGGACCAGAGTAATTGCAGCCTCCTGGCGTCCCAAATTAGCCCATGGCCCTGGGTGAACTGGGAGATTTTGAGACTTCCACAATCTTGCAATGAACTCTTTCGGTGTAGCAGGATAGTTGAGGAAAAGTTGATCTCATTATTACTAACAATTGTGGAACAAATAGAAATGCATGTTTTTATTAGTTTACCACTTACAAATACATTCTAAATAAGATGTTCATGGAGGAATACCAAAATGTAGTGGACAAGAGTAGTCCAGTGGGAAATTTTATGTCACTGAAGAAGATGACTGGTAATTTAGAGTGTGAATACGAAACTGCTGTAATTATACCTTGAATTGTTGATTGAGTTAGAAATCTCACTTCAATGAGGCTTATCCTGACTACCTTTAAAGGAAAGTTTAACCTACACTTCTACTCCCATACCCCTTACCTGCTTGAAGTTTTTTTCTCCTTAGCACTTTTTACTTTGTAATGTATGGTATAATTTACTTATTTATTATAGCCATCGTTTATTATTTGTCTGTCTCGCACTAGAGTTAAGCTCCATGAGGCAGGATTTTTTTTCTTCCTTACTAATGTATCTCAAAGGCTAAGAACAATTTTGGCCCATAATAGGCACTCAATAAATATTTACTGAATGAATGAAAGAATGAATATGTTATTTTCCAAAGAGCAGGAAGTGGAGCCTGAGTGGCCTTGCATGATTGGCGTAACCTATGAGGAACATAGTTCTATTGAAAGCCCTGGTAGTGAAGGCAGTCAACAAGTCAACAAATATTTCTTGGATTCCTAGTATATCCCAAATGACAGCTTTCCAAATTCCTCAGAATTTAGCATCTATTCTCCGTTAAACATTCTGATACTTTTTAAAACATCTTTCATCTTTTGGTATTCCTTGAGGGGCAAGACCTGTGTGATTCACCCAGATAGCATCTCTTATGGTCATAGGTACAGACCAGACAATAAGTATTTGTTGAAAGGGCAAAGGAGTGAAGTGGGTTAGGGCATTAAGATACCTGGGAATCCAGTTATTTTTCACATGAACATTTGTTTTATGAAGTTATCGTCCACAATAGTAGCATTTTGCAATCCTCCTCTGAAGGATTTGCAAGTTTTCTGTGAAAATTTTGGGGTTTGCAATCTGAAAAATTAATTTACACGTATGCAGAGTTACCTAGATAACCAAATACTGACAGACGGTTTTGGTGTCCTTGTTTGGTTTGTGTCTCTTCTGAGCATTTTAGCACTACATAGTATAGTGCTTTATTGCAAGTTAATAGGAAAAGAACAGAGGCAGCATAAAAATGTAAGTGATTTATTCACCCCAAATGACATGAATCCACTCTGCCAGGAGATTATACAGTCGTTTAAAAGGAGAAAAGAGATGAGAGAAATAAGTCATAACATGTGGTAAAATGGGCTCACTGATCTGCAATAGGTACCATATTCCTGTGCTGAGAGGTGATTTAGTTTGGCAAAGCATAATCGTCGATATTTTCAAATTAAGACTTAATTTAAGTTTTGTTGGATTTATAGTTTTGTTTGCATTTATTTTGTAATTTTGTGTGGGTTTTTTTTGTAGCTACGAGAGCTGTGATATAAGGAACCTACCTTTGTGTTTGTACATATTTAATAATATCCTAATGGAAATAGTTTTAGTTGGGGACATGAAGCCTTGAAAATGTGTTTTTACTTTTAGGGGGTTTTTTTGGAGTGTTTATACTTTACTCAAGTTTGTGAAAGATGACATTGCAAAGCTTCAGGCCTTAGGGCCCAGGACGCAGAATATTTATGTCAGTAAAGTCCGGGTGTGACAATTCAGTGCAGGACAGATGTTTCTGCTGCTTCTGCTGCTAGTTGTGCTGGTGGTGATGGAAAATAGGAGAGTGGGATCTTAGGAAAATGTAGGAAGCTTGCTTGGAGAAAATGGAGGAATTTTAGATAAAGTTGGAGCTCTTTCTGCAGTTGTGCTTTTGGCTCTCAATTTGTGAGTTCTCTGTCTTAGAAACTTTTCTCAAGTGGTTAAGTGAAATGCAGTGTTTTTATTTCCAGATTTAAAAGAAAACACTAATCAGCATTTCTGTAGATGATGCAAAACTCTGTTCTGTGTGGAACACTGGGAGACCTGAAGAGCTCTTTAAAGTCATTGCAGTTCAGAGGAAAGAGATGCTTGTTTTCTGATGCTGTCCTCTCCCCATGACCTTCCCCCAACCTCCCCATCCTGGCCCTGCAGTGGGAACTACAAGTAGAAAGAAATAAGATGAGGACTTTGTTTTGGTTTACTTTAATAGAAAGGGTACTGGAAGCAGGTGTTACTTAAGTCAACTTTGCTACCGTGTCCAGAGAAATACTGTCTGCAGTTCAGTCAATCGACAAATATTTATTAAGCACGTACTATGTGTAAGGCATTGTATGGGGAGCTGAAGACAATGAACAATAGAGAGTCCCTGCCTTTGTAAAACTAACACTTGTTGATTCTGTTCTATTGTGTCTTTATCTTCACTTGGTACACTTTAGTTACATATGGGTGGTTAATTGGAAAACTTTTAATGCATCTTTATGCTGATTTGTATGGTCTCCAGGATAGAATACAGAGTTAGAAATTGTAAAGGCTTGGATTAATTTGTTCTTTTTATCTTTCTCTGTTTTTAAGGGGTGTTATGAAAGTTGACATAAATCTTCAGAAAGTCGACATTGACCAATGTTCAAATGATGGCTGGTTTTCAGGAACTCACAAATGTCACCTTAACAATTCAGAGGTAAGAACATGAAAATAAAGTCCTCTGAAATCAGAAGCTCAGAAATGTATTACTTTTGAATATGTTGTATTTGTGGGGATAAGTGAACAAGAGGCATGTTGCTGGGGGAAAAAAGTCTCCTATGTAGGTCTGAATGTTGCCAAATGAACTGAAAGAGGAGTAGAAAGTGAAATGTGCGCAGAATTGCTGTTCATTTGGAGACTAAGAGAAGGCTGAAACTAAAATTATGTCTGAAGTTTGGCTCTAGTCAAAGGCTGATCCTGTTCTTTAAAAAATGGGCTGGAAATTAAAATCGCCGTGAAGTGAGAAACCAGTCCCAGGAGGGGTCAACCAGATCATACACATTTTTATGGAATATGATGCCTGTTGAAACATTGATGGTATTAATTCAGACACACTGCCATCTGCTAGAAAAGCAATAGAGAAAGTATGGCAGGGAAATTTTGGAAACAAGGAGAAAACTGTTTATGGGGACCTGGAAGGGAAATCTGGATACTTGTGTGTATTTCCAATTTTTGATTCCTATACATGCTATATTTCAAGAGGCGATGGTTGGTAAGGAACAGGCATATAGATCATACTTTTGGATATAAGACTGTCACTTGTCTTTTGTAGTTTCACAGAGAAAGTGTGATGACATCCTGATTTCATTTTCAGTAATCTATCTGTGAGGTCCTAAAATGTTGTGAAACTAGTGTAAAATAGTTCCTGATCTTAAAGACTAGGGCTATCCCAACTTAGAGTCTATGAATTTGTGAGGCAAGTCAGCTTGATTTATTTAAAATAAAGGGGACATTCCTATCAACATAGTAATCTACATATTCAATTTGAATTTTTGCCTTTGTGGAAAGATGGTTTTACATAGTGCAATTTTAAGGTAAGGAATTTTAAATCAGAAGGAAATTTAACAAGCACTTATTTGTGTCATTACACAAACAAAAGAGTGCACAGATACATGCATGTACATGTGTGTACATATGCCCACTGCATGTTTCCCATGTGCACTCCCCACATATCCTGCCAAACACAGCCCACATAATCCCATACCACACCACTACCCAAATAATCTTCCCGAGTTCCTCACATCCCCCTTACACTCCACACACACACCTCCACCTGTCCCCTATACTCCCCACCACAGGATCCCTCAACCTCCCATCCCTTAAACGCCCTAGAAACTCCCATAATCTTCCACATCCCTCTAAATCCATCACACATCCCCACCGTATCCCCATGACCCCACTTCCTCAATACCCCACACACATTCCCACACATCCCCACACCCTCTCCCACATCTCCATACACCTCCACACAGCCCTCACTTCCTCCACTCCCCACTACTCGAGACCCACTTAGGCGAGTGAAAGATTTCGGTCTTATCAACTCACAGAAGTTCAGACCCTGTTTTCGCTTCTTTTCACTGTTTATTCTTACGGTTATGAACTTTTCTGAGTTTCCACTACCCTTTGGATGATTCTGGCATTTCTAAAGGTATGAATTTCAAGCACTGATCTGGTGAATATCTTTAGCCTGATTATGATCTCCATGCCAATGGCCTATAGCCACTTAGCTTTGTCTTTTAACCAGAGTGGAATTTTTTCTGCATGGGTGTCATATTGTAAATATTGATCTGTGTGTGCTCATTTCTATATAGGCTTGTTTCATTGGTGCTCCTGGGTAGTTTAATAAGCAGTCTGTCTATAAACAAGGAGATATTTACTTTTCAGTTTCGTACAGTTGCTGCTTGCCACTGATGATTTTGGCGTAATTTTTTCTTTTCCCTTATAGCACATCTGTTTATATGACTAGATGGTCATATTAGAAGAACCTCTTTCCTCTTTTGGAAGATTTATTTCTTTTCATTGCTTCAGGATTATTAATTTTCTGGGTGTTGTGTCTTTTTAAAGATTTCAAATAAGCTATTTCAAGATAAACTGTTATCCTCTATTCTGGTTAACAAAGATTAGATTGAAATGTGTAACTTTTGGCATTATTTATGGGAGTATGTATTTATTCTACACCTTAGGAAAAACCAGAAAAACATATTCTACATGACAACTGACAGTTCAATGAATCTCATTTGAAAATGTTGTAGGAAGAGGCTTAGTGATCAAAAAATAACATCAACAAACAGTGAATCTACAAAAGACATATTTTGACTGGCTCCCTCCACCCCCTTTCCTTGCCGAGGTACTAAAGTTGGGAGTAGATCATGGTCTCCCAGGCTGGGCCCATGAGGCCCTTGGTGGGTAGTCTGACGTGGAAATCTTCACTTTTTTGTTGGCCTTCTCTAGGGTTCTGGAGTTGGTGCTGGTCACTCTGGGCAGCTGCCGCAGTCCCATACCACGTCCTCAGTTCAGTGACTGACAATAGTCTTTTTAGTCCTTCTCTGTTATATGAATTGGAGCTGGGAACTGGCTTCTCTTGACGTTTTTACTGCTTCAGAAAGGAGAATGAAAAATCTCTTTTCAGGGCATTTTTCATCTGTGCTGGCTCTCCTTGGTTCCTTGTCACAAATGTTCTGTTGTGGACCCCAAGGATCACTGTGTAAACTGGCTTATTTTAGGAAGTACTTAAGATGGCTCATATTTGTGGGGTGGAGGGGCCTTTCTTGATGAATATCCAAATCATTAGAAACAGATACTCATCATGTTCACTGTGAGTTTTATCTTGCCAATGTTTAGCATTCTTCTCTTATAAGTAATAGAAGAAGTTACAAATTTAAAAGTTACAATTGAGGCAAACTTCTCACTTTTAAAATTTTTCCAGCGTGTTGAGCTTTAAGCCTCCAAGGTATCTTAAACCAGAATAGCAAGTCTGATGTTGGAAACAGACAAGTGGTATGTGACCAATGACCAAAAGCCTCAGGAACACATTAGAAAGGCATGGAATGGTTTGTGAGGAAAATAATTTCTCAATGAGTTTGGGTCGTTACAGGATCTGAGAGCCACTAAGTACTTTTTGAAGGGCGTGGTAGAGCAAGATCTGAGTCCACGCCCCACTGAACTGGGGGTTTTCATAATTGATCCAGATCACTGCCACATGGACTTGATCATGTTGTCAGTATCCGTTTAAGTAATTCTTGACCTATTTTCATATCATTGTTTGTTTTGAGTACAGAAAATCCTCTCCTACAGAATAGTTTATTAAAAACATTAAAATAAATTGATATTCATTTTTCTTTTAAAAATTTTCCTTTAGCTTTGTTTCCCTTATAAGAAATGTTTTTATAGCTATTTGAAGTATGAAACATTAAGACAGTGACTTTGAAACTTTTTGATTATGTTTTATAAGTAAAAATGCCTTAAGCATCCACCCATAGTATATGTATATATTTTTTTTTAATTTTTTTAAAGATTTTATTTTTTACTTTTTCTCCCCAAAGCCCCCCGGTACATAGTTGTATATTCTTCGTTGTGGGTCCTTCTAGTTGTGGCATGTGAGACGCTGCCTCAGCGTGGTTTGATGAGCAGTGCCATATCCGCGCCCAGGATTCGAACCAACGAAACACTGGGCCGCCTGCAGCGGAGCGTGCGAAATTAACCACTCGGCCATGGGGCCAGCCCCAGTATATGTATATTTTTAATCTACAAAGTACACACGTCTTTTTATACTTATATATTCTATATATTGTAAATCATAAAACTTAATTGGGTTGTGATAAGGATGAAATAATAATTTAATGTAGATTATATATATGTATATATATATTTTTTTTGAGGA